TACTAGTATACAAGCAAGTCCTGTAAAGTACCGTATATCAAAAGCCTTCAAACAATACAGTATGTTTAAAATGCTTTTGTTTTTCCTGGTGTTTCATTGCTTTTTGAGCCTTGTTGTCTTAGAAGTGTTTGCTGTTCCTGCTGCGTGTCTGTCATTTGACGGACCGCTCAATAAAAGTGTGCAGGCAGGGCCGGTGCATCAGGAGCAAACTGTATATCAGGGGTTCAGAGCAGATCCTGTCCTGACCTCGTCACTCACCGCCCCCTTCTTCCCATCCACAGCTGGCGTCTTCGCTGCTCGACGGGGGGAGTCCTCAGCCATAGTGATGGGTAAGGACCGTGACTGACAGCGTCGGTCCTCTCCAGCACCGCCGCCGTTTCATCCTCACTCTGAAGCCACAGCAGTGCTTCTGCTAGGAGTGAAGACATGTTTCTGTTGACATGCAGGGCGACTGAGGTTACTCGTTCGCAGGTTATGTTCGCTGTACTCTGCTGAAAACGTTTTTTTGGTTGGAGTAAAACGCACCACATCAGATTGCACACACAGACATTCAAACTCGATCTCATCTGTTAGACTTATCAGATCCACAGGGCTTGTCTGTTAAGTTATAGCTACACTGCTAAAGGCCTGTAGGCCTATTTACTTAAGAAAGTGACTTAACCAAAGGGTCCCAGGGTTTGTTTTATCCTTAAATGCCATGTTTGTCTTTTTATTGTTTTTATGTGCTGGTCACTGGTTATATTAATTTATATATTTATATAATAGGCAGACCTTGATCATCAGTTCTGTGCCACCAAGTGTTTTACGATTGGTTTGTGTTTGAGTGTTCTGTTAAGATGTGAAGGTTCAGATCCTGTTGGAGAGGGAAAGAGGTGAGTTAGTCTTTCACATCCCTTCAGCTTTTTCTCTAATTGACCTGCTTCTGTTTACTCAGTACAGAGATCTTGAGTGTCCTCAAAGGCTGTGAGGGAGGACTAAAATTGCAGTGCCTCGTGTGTGAAATTCATACTCTATAGACGTGGCACAGGGGACTGCTGACTGTATTCTGCACTTGTGACCCCAATTCTTGGTTGATAACCTGCTGACATCAGTCATTGCAGCGGGATCTTTTGAAAGCTTCAAATGTAAGAGTTTGGGCAGTTTTAAAAAAATGCTGGACTACTTGTTCTTTCTCATTCAACATGTGCTTTAACAGAGGCCATGCAAAATTGTTTAGTAATTCAAAGATGGATACTTTCAACAGGATTATCAAGAACCATTCTTGCAGTAGATTCAGATATGATTTGTTTAAAGGCAGTTGGGGGATGTGTTTGAAGTGTACAGTATATCACAGAATAAATGGTCTTGCCACATTAATTTAACATGACACTGACTAAGGAATTTATGCTCTTTATAATAATGCAATGTTAACACATTCTTACCATTCATTCCAGCCTGATTGCTAATAACATTTGCCAGTTTCAGTATTGCTCTCTGTTACACATTGATCTAACGTACCTGGGTTTCATAAGCTGGTACCTTTCGAAGACCCAGAAAAATGGAAACAGGATGTGCT